AAACAGTTTTGGTGTTCCACAAGGCAGTGTACTGGGACCTTTGCTGTTCTTGATATACATTAACGATCTTCCTGACTTTACTACAAGCAAATGCATTTTATTCGCTGATGACACTACTCTTATAGTTAAAGGTAATAACAGATCTGAACTTGAAATCGCAGCTAATGGTGCTCTAAATGAGGTCATACAGTGGATGAATATAAATAATTTAGATATAAATATAAATAAGACGAAATTTATTGAATATAAAACCCTCAAAAACATTTCAAACGACATTAAACTCACATATAACAACTCGATAATTGAAGAAGTCGTTTCCACGACATTTCTAGGAATAATATTTGATAAATTTTGTAGTTGGAAGCCTCATATAGAAAGCCTTTGTACTAAAATAGATCGTTTCGTTTTTGCATTGCGTAGACTAAGAAATATCGTATCAGAAAGAGCTGCACTGATGGCATATCATGGATATATCTCATCCATACTACGATATGGTGTTATACTCTGGGGGTATTCGGTGGATTCGGATAAAGCATTTAAAGCACAAAAACGCTGCATAAGAGCTCTTTGTGGTGTTGGTCCTTTAGTGAGTTGCAAACCTTTGTTCAAAACTAAAAAGATCCTGCCTTTGCCTTCATTATACATATTTGAAATGTGCATATTTGTTCATAAGCATCCACATTTATTTCAACGTAAGTGTGATGTGAGTGAAAGTAAGGGTAGATACAAGAATAGGTTATATGCGCCAGCAAATCGTCTAAAAGCTACAAAAAGAAATGCTTCTGCAATGTCGATTAGAATTTATAATAAATTACCTGATAATTTAAAGCGTAAAAGTTTATTGTCATTTAAGAAATCTGTTTTGGCATTGTTGCTCCGTAAATGTTATTATTCTGTAGAAGAGTTCTTAAACGACAACGACCTACATACGAGTAATAATGAATAATAATTTTAGAATAGGATTAATAACGTAATTACGAGATTCTGATATTTAAAAAAAAATAATGTTTTTGATAGATATTATTTTATATAAAATTTGACTTATGTATCTAATTAATTAATAAATTTGATGTAAAAATAGAAAGATATTAATGACAATTGGATATGTAACATTATATAATTATTGACGTAAGAATAATAATTAATATATGACATTGACCTATAATATAAATCTTACTTGATATAATAATACTTACTTATATTTTTTCTGACACTGTGGCATAATAAATTAATTATCAAATCAAGTAAATTATGTTAAATAATTTTATATTTTGTTAAATTAATATATGTTGTTAAATTCGATAAGTATTGTTGTTTAGGTTACTTGACCATTAATATTTGCACACCACTAAGGTAGAATATGTAGTACGAATTATACTCAAACACCATTGTACAACCATATTCTTGCAAATAAAGATTATTATTATTATTATTATTATTACAGTTTCACAGCAGTGTCAAAGATCTTGTGTCAAAGGTGCGAGACGTCCGCGTTTGTCAATAACAAAATTTATAAACAATTAAATACTGTGTAAAGGAAACTAGTACTGTCTAGCAGAGTTTACTTGGAAATGTTTTAGTCATCAATGTAATATTTTATTATAAAATTAAATTATGCAGCTGTATCACTGGTACAGTTATAGCACGAATGGATTGGCTCGACTGGGGAAGGACCACGCTCTCACAGAATATCAGCGTCAAATAGCAGCTCAACGCTGCTGTGTTTCGTATGGTGAGTGTAGAGAACCGGAGACCCTTTTTACTGGAAACGAGGCATTCCATCTTAGTCCCCACGGATAATAGCACATCTGCATTTTGGTTCGTTATCGAGGATAGATGTAGATATCTATGGGCCACAGCAACCACTTACCATCAGGTGAACTGCGAGCTCGTTTGCCACCCTTATACCATAAAAGAACATGCCTCCTTAACACTTCTTAATAACACATCATCATTCATCATCATTACAGCCCTTCACAAGTCCACTGCTGAACATAAGCTTCTGCCAAGGTATGCCACAAAGTACGGTCCTGCGCCACCTGCATCCATCGACTTCCTGCATGTCTTACTAGGTCGTCACTCCATCTAGTGGGGGATCGGCCTACATTACGCCTACCGGTACGAGGTTGCCACTCGAGAACCTTTTTCCCCCAATGGTTGTCAGTTCTTCGAGCTATATGGCCGGCCCATTACCAAATCAGCTTACTAATCCGTTGGGCTATGTCGGTCACTTTGGTTCTACTGCGGACATCCTCATTTCTAAGTTTATCTAGGTCACTCGCTGAGAGACCTTCAGCATCCTAATACGGCCAGCAATGAAGGACCACGTCTTAGATCCATAAGTCATCACTGGCAACACGGACTGGTTGTACAACTAGTTATCAGGTTTTGAGATATACCTGACGAGAAGATGTGTCGTAATTTCCCGAACGCTGCCCAGCCGAGTCAAATCCTTCGATTGACCTCTCAGTCGAAGTTTGATTTACCTAGTCGGACTATTTGTTCCAGGTAAACGTACCCGTCAACAACTTCGAGCTTAGTGCTCCCAACAATATAGGTATGACATGGACATTAAACATTATCTTTGTTTTGTACATGTTGATTATAAGACCGTTGGGATACATTATTGAGGTCATTGAGAATAGTGCTTAGGTCCTCCAGCGATTCTGCCATAAGGACAATATCATCGGCAAATCGAAGGTGAGTGATGTACTCACCATTGACCCGTATCCTTTCTAGTACAGTAGCTTGAAAACGTCTTCCAATGCAGCGGTAAAGAGTTTTAGCCATATGAGATTACCCTGTCTTACACCTCTCTGCAGTTTGGTAGGTTTCGAACTTTGGTTCTGTATTCGGATAGCCATCGCAGCCCTACTGTACAAACACTTCAGCACTTGAATATATCGACATTCAACTTGGCACCGCTGAAGAGACTGTAGCACCGCCCAAATTTCGACGGAATCAAAGGCTTTCTCATAGTCCACATACGCCAGGCAAAGTGGCAGATTCTATTCTTCGGTCTTCTGTACAATCTGCCTCAGGGTTTGTATGTGGTCTATGTCTATGGTACTGAAGCCTTTTCGGAAACTGGCTTGTTCAGGAGGCCGGAAGTCGTCGAGTCTGCGTGAGAGAAGATTCGTAATGACTCGAAAAAGGAAGAAGAACTACAGACCGATTTCCCTTCTGAATTGCGAGAAGGGAAATCGGTCCGTAGTTCTTCAAGAGAGCGTTGTCGCCTTTCTTGAAGAACAAGACCACCGCACTTCTGCTCCACGTCTCGGGAGTAGTGCCACAATGGAGGACGGAATTGAAGAGCTTTTGAAGCACGTTTTCTATTACGGCAAATATTATATACCTATGGACAAAAGTATAAAAACAATTGCTGCATTGTTACAATCAAGAACTTTGAGTTGTGAGGTAAATAAACAAATTAATTAATTCCTTTATTGTATATATTCATAATATCGTTTAGGAAACAATTGTTATATCATGTATATTCTTACTTATATATACCCATATATATTTATTTTAATTTATGAAACTCTTTCTTTGTAGAATCAAAAAGTTTAAAACAGTAAAAAATTACTGCCCGATAATCAAATTACTTTACGTGGTAGAGCCGTACTGAAGGTATATGAGTAGAGTTGTAGCAAGAATGGGACTGCTCGACAGGGGAAGGACCACCTTCTCACAGAATATCAACGTAAAATAGCAACTGCTATTTTGCTCGTTTGTCACCCTTCTCTTTGAAAAAAAATTGCGCCAACTGTACTTTAGATATGATTGAAACTACTGATGACGACGAATTCATAAGTCAACCATTTTTAAATCAATTTTACAACTTTTTAACAAAAAAAACACTGATAAAATTTTCGGTTTTATATGAAAATTAAAATAAAAAAATTATAATATTGCGTAAAATTTGTGTAAAAATTATATAGCTTGCCCTTTTAGATCTAATTTTGCTATTCATTTCGTAAATAAATACATACTATTTTTGTAAATGAAAATGTAAGCGGCATTTATATATGTAGGTATGTATATTTAGTCTCGAACTAAAACTCAAAAACAGCTCGACCGATTTTGATGAAAATTTTTGTGTGTGTTTGAGGTGGTTTAGATTCACACTTGGACACGTTAGGTGGCGCTGTTGTAGAGATCCAGATATCACCCGTGCAAAGCCGGGTCGGATCGCTAGTATCTATTAATTCTGTGGAATCGCTTTAATTATTAGGAATATTATAAAAAAATTGATTGAATTTCTGAATTTTTACGGGTTGTTCTTATTTTCATTTTCAGTTTGCTACGTTCAAATTCTAGTTTACATTTTCGCTAAGATCAATAAAAAATTCTAATATAGTTATAGGTGAAGCAGAGCATTATCATGGTGCATATTAGAAAAATAGAGATGAGATGTGTTTGTTACAAAATTTAACGATCCTAACTAGTAGGCAGATGACGGACGGTAAAGATCATACTTAGTTCTAATAAGCATTGCAGCTTTTCCTTCTCGTTTTTTTTTTAATTTAAATTGCACCTTGGTTGCACCAGCAGAAAGCGTAATCATGGTTTATGATCCTCACTGTGGCTTTGGAAAATAGAAGTATTTATCTCATATGTCGCTTATTACAAAAAAGTTAATCGGCGAATCACTTATTCCTAGACCCGCGGTAGTGAAGGTCTTTCTTGATTTGAAGGCTCTCAGTACCTGGCTGCGCTTAGATCGAAGGGAACATTAGGTTTTACAGCTAGGCACCGAGGTCCAACACGGGTAATTCAATCAACGTCTGCGTCGTCCAACTGTGCTCCAACTTTACCAGTTGCCACTTTTACAATATGTCCGTGATTTTCATTATTGTCTTCTGATATACCGACTCTCTAACTCGAAGTCCTTGCGAAGTCCATGCTGTGCTTGTAATTTGAGCTCGTTTTGCAGTTGGGTCACAGATACAGAGACAGAAAGCAAGTTTATAATTTGTGATCGCGTTTTTCTAGTTTTATCAATCGGCTTTATTGTCTAACATGCCTCGCATTAGCTTATCCATACTTTCATGGTAGTAGCATAGAGTCGTAAATTCTCTAGTTAACCGAGCGATCACTGCAGTCAATTCTCTTATTTCCGTCTCAGGAGTTTGACAGTCGGAAGCAGTCTTTTTTGCACCTCGTAAATTTCTGCGAATCCGGGATAGAGCGTACATTGGTGTTAGTGTTATCGCCGCCTTTTTTCCCGGACCGGAGCACTTTTTCCCCTCCATTGTAACCGGTGTTAAATTTATACAAAGCAGGCGGTACGTTTTTTCGCATTTCGGCGATGTACATATAATGATTAATGACACTGGCATTTTAGTAACCTTCAAACCTACACATTTCAAATCTGCGCCGAGCTAGTCTTAGACAATAACGTCACTGTGAGCACTGTGACTGGTGCATTACGCTTTCTGCGGTCACACGGTCGTCGCAGTTCCGTCGAGCACTTAACCGTACGTATGCTCTGCTCTGTCACTCTGTGCTGTAGGCTTTACCCGTAGATGCAGGCTAGGTCTATGGCTTTACCGCTTACCCTACACTTTTGATTAATTTTTTGAGGCGAATTTGACGTTTTCTATTATTTCGTAAAAATCTATTATTTTAGTAGTTTGTAGGTACTATTAGCAGTTAATTTGTTTAGATACCACACACAGAACATTACAATATTCTTGTATTTTATTTCACTCTTTAATGATTATTTGTTTATATAAAAATGAGGAGTGACTTTTAAAACAGCGTCATTCGTTCGACAGAGATGTCAAAGATCAATTATAATACACCGAACAGAACAAAGGAGAACATAGGCCTTTTCCGTTGTAAGTTGGATATGCCTTCGTCACGCTTGTTATGTCGGATTGACGATCGCAATACCTAACGTTTCGCACCTTTGTTGCTGCACCCATCGCCGGTATGGGTTTTTTACGTCTGACGTAAATGAAATTGTTATACCGTTAAGCCAGAATTTTCTGGCACTTTTCTGGACGAAATGGATTGGATTTTGAGCTTTGTTTATAGTAAATGTGAAACAAGCGATCACTGGCAGCTGGGCCTTTTTAATTAAGTTGGGAATTAACCGCAAAAACCCCTCAATCGTCATTCGCACTTACTGTGTAGCCAATCAGACTTTCGGATAGTAATCAATTTATTTTAAATTAAATACTTGATTTTGACAATTAGCTATTACATAACAATTAGCATTAGCACTTTAGACAATTTTAATAAATAGAATCAATAACACCACATTTTGCTAAAATGTTACTGTTTAATAAGGTCCCAATGTACATATATAACCTACATTTTAGTTGTATTTCCTTTTAATATTAGTAAGTTTTTTTTTTTTTTTTTTTTTGCTTAATATTTCTTAAGTATTACCTACTTTAATATTTCCTACTTTTTGCGCGATTTATTTGTATTTTACATTAACAATCTAGATTTAAGATTATACGCAAAAATATTAATAATTATAATTATACAAATGTTTTTATTCTGCTTATCATAAAGTTTGGTACCGTATCTCTTAATCTAAGGATTTACAAGTTGAGCACGATTAAAGCAATATACATACGTCCACGTACCACCAGCAAAGATGTTAAAATATGTTACTTGTTATTTCTTAATCTACTCAAGAAGGTAAAAACTTAGATTTCTTATAAAAAGTAAAACTGACTATAAAGTAGAAACTCATTATTCATAATTACATCATTACAACCCTTCAGAAGTTCACAGCACACGCATCTATCGACTACCATGTCTTACCAGGTTGTCACTACATCTAGTGCGGGCAACCCAAACATTTCACCTACTTCTACGCCTAGGTTGCCACTCGACAACCTTGCTTTTCCAAAGTTTGTCGGTTCTTCGAGTTATATGGCGGCCCATTGCTACTTCAGCTTACTAATCCGTTGGGCTATGTCTCACTCTACACTAACACTCCCGATATTCTAGATACTCATTTGACCAACCCAAAAAATGACTATATTTAGTCTTTTTTGTGTTTCACCTACATTTTTTACTTTTTTATAGGCGAAAGGGTGACAATGAGAACACAGTCCACCTGACGATAAGTGGATGATGTTGACCTTTTAATAGCTTTACTTGTTTATTGTTTAAATATTACTTGTTACACATAATTTTTTACATTTAAAGAGACTTCCTTTACATTTCCTCTCGAAATACAACCAGTACTATGTTGAAACTTTGCGAAATCGTCTGAGTACACATACGCGAGATTGTGCAGCTTTTCCCCAAAGAATGATGTACCGCCTAGACTAAGTAGCAGACTTAGTACTTAGGTACCGCCACACATGTTTCCACTGATTTCAAGACAGCCATTGATATCAAATCCATAAACAGACAGTTATTTGCAATTGATATTGCAGGTTGCTTATATCAGTTTAAATAGTAAATTATTATTACCAGTCAACGGTTTTCCAGAAATTTCTTTTTACTATCGTTGCTACTTAACAGTGTAGCAGCGGTGTATGAATATCTACTACCTCATATCGTCCTAGTTGTCATAACTCATAAGCCAGATGACACGCAGCAGCGTAATAATAACTATTGTGTATACTGTGACCCTTTTTACTAGAAACGAGGCATTCCATCTTAGTCCTCACGGGTGACAACGCATCTGCATTTTGATTCCTACACTAATCCTAGCGAACGACCTTGAGCGTTCCGTCCTATACAGTCCACGCACTCTCGCTACAATATATCGCGTAAGAAATACGCTCAAATTTTTGGAATAATTTCAATTAAAAAGGAAAAGCGAACTTAAGAAATTAAACAAAACATGGATAATAAAGATTTTTAAATTATCTATCCATTAGTGTAATCCTCAAATGATTAGAGCGTTGCGTTTAGCAACAGATGCATGTAATCAAGAATTTTAGTCATTTTTTAAAAGTTGATTTTAAATGTATTCATAACACATAAAAACAAATTAGAACCTGAAATGTGATGATAGCATATCGAACATTAATAACGTGCTTTTAGATGTAGCTTATTTCTCATAATTAATGAGATAATAGTCTCTGAAAAACTATCGCAAGGTATAGGTCAAGGTCTTAATATAGAGGATAAATTTAGTGGTCTATGTGCCACGGTATCCGCTTAACATCAGGTGGACTGTGTGCTCGTTTGTTACTCTTATTCTATATAAAAAAAAACTAAATATTGATAACTGCGTTTGCCAATCTGCTTGCCCGGCGTGGCAATTATGGCAAATACCTTTGCCCCCTTTAAGGCACTCTATTACAGTAACGGTATTGTTGCAAATATTTCGGAAAATAATATTTATTCATCACTATTTTTCTCTTATCAGACTCTTCAATTCCAATCCATAATAAATATTATGGCTGTAGCACGAATGTGTCGGCTCGACCGGGGAAGGATCACGCTCTCACAGAATACCACTACCACACACAGAGTGAGTGTAGAGATCCGGAGACTCTTTTTTACTGAAAACGAGGCATTCCATCTTAGTCCTCAGGGGTGACACGCATCTATGTTTTTTGAGCATAAATATAGTTAATGTTACCATCAGCTGGACTGTGTGCTGGATTTTCACCCTTATTCTATTAAAAAAACTAGGATTTTGTTGATATTTTATAGATTATTATATATATTATCAATTACGATGTCAGTAGGTAGTGATTAATTACTTACTCGTATATTGATAAATGCGTGTAACTTACACCTTTTTAGACTGGTTAATTCAAGATAAAATTATGTAATGTCCCACACATTTAGAAAAACTCAATTCGTGGGAGAGTAATAAAGCAGGAAAAGTTTTGACGCGCTGTGTGGCTGAACCTCATGATCTCGAAATATTGTTAAATTTCATATATAATACGAGTACATGCAGTAATGTCAAGACGTTTTATCGTGTTCCCGGAATCTTTTTTAATTTCTCACACGTGTAGTTTTTAACCGACTTCATATAAAGAGGAGGTTAACAACTCGACTCTATGTTCTTTTTATGGACATATAAACACATAATATCTTCTTCAATTGTAAACCAATTTTAATAATTTAATTTTTATTAAATAGCTTATACTTCAGGCCGTGTAAATTTAAAAAAAATCCACTTATAAGGGTGGGAAAATAGGGGTTGGTAGTTTTAAAATCAACTACTTAGCCGACATGCTAGGTTACCTTTTTAAGCTTAGGAATTTCTTAGTCCTCTCATCAACGATAAAAACGTTAAACATTTAATAAAAAGGAAAACCCATCTTCAAACAATTAAAAAGAATAAAGTAATTTCGATATAACAGCTTCTGAAGTCGGAGCTTTAATTTTAAATGAGCAATAATTTCAGCGGTATCGATGTGAATGGACTTTGGATTGTTCGCTTAGTATCAAATTTGCGGCGAGCATCCAAACCACGAGCTACCATGGGAACACAACAGCATTACATAAAATATATAAAATAATTAAGTTATTTTATTATATAAAATAACTATCAACTTTGCAAGATGTATTCAATTCCGATAGTATAAATTACAATAAATTACATTAGCGTAAACTCAGAGACAATAATTTTCCCTCATATGACTAATGACATTTTTTGGTCTTTTATTTAACCACAAGATTCTTACCGCGGGAATACCCAAGTATTTATATAAAAAAAAAACCATTGCTTGAACTGCACCTTATGAAAATACAGATCCTTATGTATATCTGCAGAAGAATGAGCTCGCACAGTAAGTAAAATTGCAGGATAAAATTGCTGCGAATGGTGAATGACGAGAACCAAAGACTTTGCTGGTAACGAGGCATTCTATTTTCTATTTTAGTCTTAGTAGTGATTTGATTATGATAGATGTAGATGTCTGTGGGCCACAGCAGGTGAACTGTGTGCTCGTTTGTCATTATTCAATAATATAAATATATATATATATATATATATATATATCCACTACCCCATATCTTCCCATGTGTGTCGTAAAAGGGAACAGAGGGAAACAAGCAGGAGATAGGAGATGGGCAGCAGCTTCTTCCTGTTAGTAGCAACCGTACAAAAAAAGAAAAAAAACTGCGGTTGCCAACCTACTCGCCAGGCGTTACAACTATGGCAATATACCCCCCATGTGAGTTACGAAAAAACGGCCCCCAGTCCCCGGCTGCCCCGCTATTCCTGGCTATGGTGGCGACCATGGTAACGGCAGGGCAGGGGGTGCTAAGAATCTCCAGTGGAGGTTCGGTTGCCACCTACGACGACTCGACATGGCAACATATAACGCACGCACCCTGAGGACTGACGTGAAGATCCGGGAGCTGGAAGAAGAGATAGACAAGTTGCGCTGGAATATTA